AGTTTGTCTGAAGCAGATAAATATAATGGTGATCAGAATGCTATAGTTTGAACATGTTCCCTCCAAAATTTAAAATACTATTAGGAGGTGGGGCCTTTAAGAAGTGGATAGGCCATGAGAGCATCTCTCTCAAGAATGGGATTTGGTGCCCTTATAAAACAACTTGACAAAGGGAGTTCATCCCTCTTTGCCTTCCACCTTCCCCCATGCGAGGACACAGTGTTCCTCCCTTTGAAGGATGCAGCATTCAAGGAGACATCTTAGAAGCAGAAAGCTGCCCTCATCAGATGCCCGAACCTGCACTCACCTTGATCTTGGAATTCCCAACCTCCAGAACTGTGAGAAATAAACTTCTATTCTATATGAATTACCCAGTCTCAGGTATTTTGTTATAGCAGCACAAAATGGACTAAGACACCTCAAATCCTTAAAAGTGGGGAAAAAATTTAAAGGAAGCATCAACCAAGTGCCACGGGAAGAGATTCCATGTCATTTTATAATACTTTCCAGTACTTAGCCCAGTGCCTTTCCAATTGTCAGTGCTCAATAAATAATTCTATTTGTGTTTTAAGGGGAAAAAAACAGAATTAACTATATAGGTCATTTTACCTGTTTTCTGAATTTTAAATAATTGGGTTTATGACTAGTAAATTGAACAAAGAAATCTGGTTAGCTGATGAAATTGAGGTGATGCTACCTAGCATGATTAAATGACAAATTTCTAGGTTTTATTTTTCTTCCATTAAATAGATAGAAGGACTCTCTTGTTGCCGAGTTGGGTTTGTTTTTTCTTTTTTGCAAGAGCCTGCATCCAGTCATTTAAAATGTAAATTTCCATTTGTAAAACAAGTTTTAATAGCTTTTAGAAAGTCATGACAAATGGCTGGAGGAAGGCATAATGAAAGTCACAAATTACTATTTACTACTTTGGATATAAGTGAGTTTAAAATAAACTTCCTGAGTTTTATTACTGTCATTATTACTATTAGCAGTTGTATTAATATTTACTTGAATCTTATGTCTTTAATAAAACAATTTTTAAACCCAGAGAAGTTTTCAGGGTTGAGATGGCTATTAGAATTTTGTCTCCCTTCTACAGAAGCTCACAATGACAAGCTCCATGAAATAATAGAGATTCTGACAGTTTCTAACTCTAACCCTGTATGTCTCAGCATGTGTCTGTCATCATACTTGCCTGGCCATAAATTCAAGGGGACATGGGGTAGGGTCTCTCCATCTTAGGATTTGCTGTATTTAACCCACTTTCCCACAGCCCCTACAAATTCTCGCAAGTTTTTCTAAAAAGAGTAATCACCTTGCTTTGTACATTCCTTAAGGGGAAGGATTTTGTATCCTTTTTTCGTTAGTGACTATGAAGCTTCTCTAGGTTTGATGAGTGATCATTAACTTTGATGAAAAGAAACAGGGACCAAAGAGAACCTGCAGTCATCACATCAGTTGATAAGCAAACTGAAAATAATTTCAAGTGGTAAATACTGTGGCAAATAGGTAGATGCTTCACATTTTCAGTCACACACAGTTTTCCAAGAACACATATAGAATTGCTGAGCAACGCCTGTATACACAGAGTCCATTGTTGCCAAAAAAGCCACAACCAATCAAGCTTATAAAGTTGACGAAGACATTTGCATCAATTCTGTTTATATTTATAGAGTGCAAAGTAGGCCTAGCACTCTCATGGGCATTGTGAGAAATATTAAAAATTCAGTTGGGCGTGATGGCTTACGCCTGCAATCCCAGCACTTTGGTAGGCAGAGGCTGGCAGATCACTGAGGTTAGGAGTTCAAGATGAGCCTGGCCAACATGGTGAAACCCCATCTCTACTAAGAATACAAAAAACTAGCCAGTGTGGTGGCATGTGCCTATAGTCCCAGCTACTCAGGAGGCTGAGGTAGGAGAATCGCTTGAACCGGGGAAGCGGAGGTTACAGTGAGCCGAGATCACACCACTGCACTCTGGCCTAGGCAACAGAGCAAGACGTCATCCCCCCAAAAAAAAAAAATCAATGAAACTCTATGAAGAAAAGATTACTAACAATTCAAGAGAGTTAACCCAAAAGATAATGATGTCTATGGAGTTGCTTCATGTGGTTTCCCAACTTTCTAGTCTTAGGACCCTTTTAAACTCTTAAAAGCTACAGAGAACTCCAAAGATCTCTATTATGTGGTTACATTTATCAATATTTAGCATGTTAGAAATTAAACTAAAAGAGTTTTAATATGTAGTAATTTATTTTAAAATAAGAATAGGCCAGGTGCAGTGGCTCATGCCTGTAATCCCAGCACTTTGGGAGGCCAAGGTGGGCAGATCACTTAAGGTCAGAAGTTTGAGACCAGCCTGGTCAACATGGTGAAACGCCATGTCTACTAAAAACATAAAAAAATTAGCTAGATGTGATCTCAGCTACTTGGGAGGCTGAGGCAGGAGGATCGCTTGAACCTAGGAGGTAGAGGTTGCAGTGAGCCGAGATGGTACCACTGCACTCTTGCCTGGGCAACAGAGCAAAATCCCATCTCAAAAAATAAAAATAAAATAAGAATAGATCCATTGCCTGTTAACGTAATTAACATGTTCTTATAAAAAAGAACTATATCTTTCAAACAAAAAAAAAAGTGCCACTCATATGGAAGCTCAGTAAGTTGGTCTCATAGAAGTAGAGGACAGAACAGGGGGATGGAGAGGCTGGGGAGGAAGGAAGGAGAGGAGATGAGAAATTGGTTAGCAGATACAGAATTACAGCTAGGCAGGAGAAATGAACTGACTTTTCTTTAACACTGTAAGGTGACTAGGTTAACAATAATTTATTCTATGTGTTCAAATAGCTAGAAAAAAGGATTTTTGAATGTTTTAGCACAAATAAACTATCAATGTTTGAGGTGATGGAAATGCTAATTACTTTGATCATTACACATGGCATAAATGTACTGAAATATCACACTGTACCCCATAGAGACGTACAATTATTATGTGTCAATTAAAAATTTTAAAGAGATTAACAACAACTGATAACAAAATGGAACAATTATAAGCAGAAAAAAAAAAACATATCGTAGAAAGAAGGATTGGGAGGGAGGTGGGAAGGGTCATCAAAGGACAACAGGAGGGACCTTTGTAGAGAGGGAATTTCTCTGTATTTTTGCTGTGGCAGAAGAAATATGAAACCACACATGCATTAAAATTGCACAGCACTAAATATACACACGCATACAAATGTACACACAGGCACAAGTAAAATAGGAAATCTGAGGATGGTAGATTTTATCAATGCCAATATTTTGTTGTGATATTGTATCACAGTTTTGCAAGGTGTTACTTTTGAGGGTTTACGGGATCATTCTATATTTATTTGTTTCCTTCTTTTCTTCTCTTTTCTTTTTAAGAGATAGAGTCACTCTCTCCCTAGGCTAGAATGCAGTGGTGCAATCATAGCTGACTACACCCTTGAACGCCTTGGCGCAAAGGATCCTCTTGCCACAGCCTTCTGAAGAGTTGGAATTACAGGCTTGAGCCATAGTGCCCAACACTCTGTATTATTTTCTAAAATTTTCTGCAAATCTACATGTATCACAAATTTAAAATTTTTAATTTAAAAAATCAGTGAGAAAAATGACATTGTTTTATATCTTTGCAAATTTCCTTAATATCTGGCTTAATAGAGCACAGCTGGACTCTCAAATCCACTTGTACGTTCGCTCTGTTACAAGGTATGCTTTTGGTTGAAGTATATGAAGAAAATTTAGCCTCACAAAGATATGAAATTGAAAGGAGGAGAAGTAGTATAACAGCCATTTCAGATCGTTGGGATATCCTTTTCTGATACTGCACCAAACCTTAACAGTGGCAGTTTCTTAAAGATGAGCTGCAATGTGGAATCTAAAACCATTACATTAAAATCCATTACTCTTCCTTACATTTCGAATTTTGTTTGTATATTAGTCCATTTTCATGCCGCTGATAAAGACAGACCTGAGACTGGGTAATTTACAAAAGAAAGAGGTTGATTGAACTTACAGTTCCACATGACTGGGGAGGCCTCACAATCATGGTGGAAGGTGAAAGGCATGTTTCACATGGCAGCTGACAAGAGAAGAGAGCTTGTGCAGGGAAGCTTCCATGTTTAAAACCATCAGATCTCATGAGGCCCATTTACTATCACAAGAATAGTACAGGAAAGACCCACCCTCATATATAATTCAACCACCTCCCACCAGGTTCCTCCCATGACACATGAGAATTGCGGGCGTTACAATTCAAGATGATATTTGAGTGAGGACACAGCCAAACCATGTTGCTTTGTAACATCATGCATTGGTCTTTGGGAAAATAACAGCAGATCTTTGAAATAGTGACACTTCTAGTATATAGTATCAAAATATTACATCCATTCATATTACCACTGTTCTCATCAGAAAAAGTCTTTAAGTATTGCAAAGCTACCAAGCTCATAGTGGCATATGCAAGTATCCCAAAATTCTAATTTTCACTTAAGAGCTCAAATTTTATCATTGGCTATAAATACTGTCATTTGTTTTCCTTGTAATGTCAGACTCAGGTTTCTCATTTTTGACAAAATTCCTGCCAAATATACAATCTGAATAGCTACAGTCTCTCCATCAGTTGGCCTTTCAAACAAGTATGGTGTTCTATGGAAAAGCAGATAGTTGAGTTCACAGTTCAAATAATCACAAAAGTGCCTTTCCTCAAGAATCTGCATTTATTCATCTAAAACATAAGTTTCTGCTTGTAGAACATGTTTTAATAGCTGTGAGAAAGTCATGACGGATGGGTTGGGCCAAGATGATACTCACAAGTTATATTGCCAGTGGCTGGTGAGGAAGAATACAATGATTATTAGTACAGTTTAGTGCCGCCACCTCAACTCGTCCTAAGGTACCAGAAATTGTATTCAATATTGGCAGTCCAAGTCCTTGCACACCTGCTCTCTTGCAGCTTCTTTCTCAGCCTAGGCCAGCATCACCATGGTGGATGCCTTCCTGTGCACCTGGAAGCTCTCAGACAGTGAGAATTTTGATGACTACATGAAGTCTATCGGGGTGGGTTTTGCTACCAGGCAGGTGGCTAGCATGACAAAGCCTACCACAATCATCAAAAAGAATGGGAACATTATCACCTTAAAAACACAGAGCACATTCGAGAACACAGAGATTAGCTTTAAGCTGGGGGTGGAGTTTGACAAGACAACAGCAGATGACAATAAGGTCAAGTCCATTGTGACACTGGATGGAGACAAACTTGTTCACCTGCAGAAGTGGGATGGGCAAGAGAGGACACTTGTGTGGGAGCTAAGTGATGGGAAATTCATCCTGACTCTCACCCAGGGCACTGAGGTTCACACTTGCACTTAGGATAAAGAAGTATCACCTGCCTGCGCTATTGCTGACCACTCCTCTGCTACCATCTGACTCAGCACCACATTGCCTCATTTATTTCCTCTGCATTTTGTATAAATCCACCTTGTTGGGGAATTCTGAGGTCCAGTGCCTCAGGAGAATTCAGATCCAGTTCCAGTTCCCATTGTGTATGTGGTTTGTTTTTTTCATGGCATTCAAAATGTGCTCTGAGGTCAAAAAAGCAGAACCAAGGAAAAAAAAAAAAAAAAAAAAAAAAAAAAAAAAAAAAAAAAAAAAAAAAAAATTGTCCAATATCAGTGCAAAGTCAATCTAGTGAAATGGGCAAATCGTGTCTTTGAATTATTATGAAAACAGCAAAAACTCTTTTCTGATCTAACTGAAAAGGTTTCAGGACCCCACTTTGAAAACTGCTGAGACAGAAGAACCTACCACACTAATTTAAGGATTTAATTTAATCATAATTTAAAGATTTAGGGTTCTTAGTGTCCCTTGACTTCATTAGCAGCACCAGTGACTATTAACTTAAGTATAGAGTAATGTATTTAACATCATCTGATTACAGATTAATGCTTCTGTACCATTAAAATCACAGTAGTTTGCAATTGGCCACTGTAGATTGTGTAAGGTGCCAGAATAAAATAAAAACCCCATTACTAATTCTCTTTTATTATTAAAAGCAAAGCATTTTCTAGCCTTCTTCCTTTAAATTACCCCTGACGGATGGCTAGCAAGATGAGTTAGCCTTTGAGATTTCAGCAAGCTCTGCAGTGGTGATCAAAAAAAGAGAAGGGCTTAAATGTCCCCAACCCCACTTAATAAGGTCAGAAAGACCAGAGCCCAAGCAGTCAGGATTCTTTTAAAGCCTTTTATCAAGTTTGCCTGTGTGCTTCCCTTAGACCAATTTAAAAGCAAGAGCTTCAGAAAGTGAATCAGTGATTTACAGTTAAAAAAAAATTCCAGAAAGCGATTCTAACTTAGTTTTTAGCCCTATAGCCTTTTTCCTTATATTGCAAATAGACCCAGTACGATAAGAGTTTTTAGGCATAGTGTTTGGAGGGGACGTGCATTCTACTGCTAAATGCTGTATGGCATAGGAACAAAAGAGCTTAAGCATTTTCATTACAAAGACAAACATCTGACAAAAAACCATATAGGCTAAGAGGTTGAGATGGTAGGTTGTGAAAGGGGCCCAGATCTCTTCAGGGTAAAGGAGTTCCTTAGACTTGGTGCTTTTCCCTGCCAGTCTGCATCTTCCTGCGCATTGTTACATCTATAGAAAAGCAACATTTCATCAGAAAAGAGTGAGCCCTTTAAAAACATTAATGCACTTCCTTTTTAAAAACAGTTTGCAATTTAAGCAGATAGCTTAGAGAGTTTCCACATACCCCTACACACACCCATGCAGTTTCTCCTATTATTAACATATTGTACTAATGTGGTATTATTGTTACAGTTAATGATTCAATATTGATGTATTATATTCACTAAAGTTCATGGTTTACATTAAGATTTACTCTTTATGTCATACAGTTCCATGGGTTTTGGTAAGGCAGAATGTCATGTATCTACCCCTATCATATTGTATAAAACAGTTTCACCACTCTCAAAATTTCATGTTTCACCTGTATTCATCCTTCTCCCCACCCTCGAATCCCTGCCAATCACTAATATTTTTACTGTCCCTTAAGCCTCTTGATGTGATGGATTACATTAACTGTATTTCAAATGTTAAACCAACCTCACATGCCTGGAATAAATTCCACTTGGTTGTGGCATTTGCCAATTTTTATATATGGTTGGATTCAATTTGCTAATATTTTGTTGAGGATTTTGTATCTAGTATCTATTTTCATTGATCTATAGTTTTCTGTCTCCTTCTGTCTTTATCTGGCTTTGGTTTTAGGTTAATTCTGCCTTCAAGAATAAGTCAGAAAGTACTCCATCTGCTTCTATTATCTACAAGAAATTACAGACAATTTCTATTATTTCTTTGTTAAATGTTTGGTAGATGTACCAGGAAAACCATCTAGGGATGATGCTTTTTTTTTGGAAGGTTATTAATTATTGACTCAATTTCTGTAATAGATATATGCCTGCTCACAATATCTATTTCCCTTTGTGTTAATTTCCCCTTGCCTATTCACAATATCTATTTCCCTTTGTACTGTGCATCTTTCAAGAAATTGGTTCAGAGGGCCAATTAGGAGCAGCTCAGGATTGCAGCTCCCAGCGAAAGTGCGGAAGGTGAGTGGACGCTGCATTTCCAGATGGATTTTTATTGCCCACAGACCAGGAGGTTCTCCGGCAGAGGAGCCCCATGGGTCACCAGCGTGGCTGTTTCGGCCGGCGCAGCAGTTTTGGCTGGCACGGTGGTTCCACACAAAATACACGGGTCCGGGCGCCGTTTTAGCTGGTGATTGGAGCTCCTGTGATACAGAGTCACCCATTCAACTAATAAAAAAAAAGGGGGAAGGGGACTAAAACAGGGAGACAGGCCAGGAGATCCCTGGGCCAAAAACACCACGAATCTCAGTGCCGCTGTTTCAGCTGGCACAGTGGGTCTCTGCATGGGAAATCACACAGATCCTGGCGCCTTTTCAACAGGTGACAGGAACATCTCAAAGACAGAGTCGCCCGTTCAACTAAAAAATAAAGGGCTCTGAGGCAGGGAGCCAGGTGATCAGGCTCGGCTGGTCCCACTCCCACAAAAAAATAGCAATCTGAAACGCTCTGGATTGAGAGTTTCACAGCAAGCACCTGAACCCGGGAGGGTCCAGCTCTGTGCGGAAGGGGCATCCACCATTACCGAGGCAGTCCACCACTACAGAGGTAGTCTGCCATTAGTGAGGCAGCCCACCATTGCTGTGGCAGCCCGCCATTACAGAGAAAGTCAGCCATTATAGAGGTGGGCCACCATTGCTGAGGCAGTTCTAACTACAACCGTATAAACAGGACTGCAGGGAAGTTTACACAGCAGCTGGGTGGAGCCCACAGCTGCTCAGCAAAGCCTCTGCAGGCAGACAGTGACTAGGCTGCCTTCTCACTGGGCACGTCAGCCCTGAAAAAAGGCAGCAGCACAACAGAAACTCAAAAATAAAGCCCTAAATCCCTGGGTCAGAGCACCTGAGAAAAAAAAGGGGGTTTATGAGTTCTGCTGCAGCAGACTTAAACGTACCTGCCTAGCAGCTCTGAATGAACAACGGAGCTCACAGCTCAGCACACGAGCTCCTATAAAGGACAGACTGTCTCCTCAAGCAGCTCTCTGACCCCCGTATATCCAAAGAGTCACCTCATAAAGGAGAGCTCAGACTGATATCTGGCAGGTATCCTTCTGGGACAAAGACAGCAGAAGAAGAAACTGGCAGCAACCCTTACTGTTCTGCAGCAGCTGCAGGTGATCCCCAAGCAAGCAGGGCATGGAGTGAACCTGAGCAGTTCTACAACAGAGGGACCTGAATGTTAGAAAGAAAACTAAGAAACAGAAAGAAATAACTTCATCATCAACAAACTGGATGTCCACTCAGAGACCCAATCTGAAAGTCAACAACTACAAAGATGACAAGTGGATAAATCTGCAAAGATGGGAAGAAACCAGCACAAAAAGGATGAACACACCCGAAACCAGAACGCCTCTCCTCCTACAAGGGATCACAACCCCTCACCAGCAAGGGAACAAGGCTGGATGGAGAACGAGTATGATGAATTGACAGAATCAGGCTTCAGAACGTGGGTAATAAGAAACTTCTGTGAGCTAAAAGAACATATTCTAACCCAATGCAAAGAAACTAAGAATGTGGAAAAAAGATTTGATGAGATGCTAACGAGAATGGACAACATAGAGAGGAATATAAGTGAATTGATGGAGCTGAAAAACACAACACGAGAACTTCGCGAAGCATGCACAAGTTTCAACAGCTGAATTGACCAAGCAGAAAAAAGGATATCAGAGGTCAAAGATCAACTCAATGAAATAAAACGAGAAGGCAAGATTAGAGAAAAAAGGGTAACAAGGAATGAACAAAATCGTCAAGAAATATGGGACTATGTGAAAAGACCTAATCTATGTTTGATAGGTGTACCTGAATGTGATGGAGAGAATGAATCCAAGTTGAAAAATACTCTTCAGGATATTATCCAGGAAAACTTCCCCAACCTAGCAAGGCAGGCCAATATTCAAGTCCAGGAAATACAGAGAACACCACAAGGATATTCCTCAAGAAGAGCAACCCCAAGGCACATAATTGTCAAATTTACCAGGGTTGAAATGAAGGAGAAAATGCTAAGGGCAGCCAGAGAGAAAGGTCGGGTTACCCATAAAGGGAAGCCCATCAGACTCACAGCAGATCTCTCAGCAGGAACCCTACAAGCCAGAAGAGAGTGGGGGCCAATATTCATCATCCTTAAAGAAAAGAACTTTAAACCCAGAATTTCATATCCAGCCAAACTAAGCTTCATAGCGAAGGAAAAATAAAATCCTTTACGAACAAGCAAGTACTCAGAGATTGCATCACCACCATGCCTGCTTTACAAGAGCTCCTGAAACAGGCACTAAACACAGAAAGAAACAAACAGTACCAGCCACTCCAAAAACATACCAAATGGTAAAGAGCATTGACACAATGAAGAAACTGCATCAACTAATGGACAAAACAGTGGGCTAGCATCAAAATGGCAGGAGCAAATTCACACATAACAATATTAACCCTAAATGTAAATGAGCTAAACACCTCAATCAAAAGACACGGACTGGCAAATTGGATGAAAAGCCAAAACCCATCTGTGTGCTGTATCCAGGAAATGCATCTCACATGCAAGGATACACAAAGGCTTAAAATAAAGGGATGGAGGAAGATTTACCAAGCAAATGGAGAGCAAAAAAAAAAGCAGGAGTTGCAATTCTCGTCTCTGATAAAATAGACTTTAAACCAACAAAGATCAAAAGAGACAAAGAAGGATATTACATAATGGTAAAAGAATCAATGCAACAAAAAGAGCTAACGATCCTAAATATATACGCACCAAATACAGGAGCACCCAGATACATAAAGCAAATTCTTAATGACTTACAAACAGACTTAGACTCCCACACAATAATAGTGGGAAACTTT